TTCAAAGGAGATGACTGCACAGTAGCTGCGTCACCACCATCAGCACAAGCTGCTGCAGCTGCTGCAGCAGTTGCTGCTGCTGCTGCTGCTGCTGCTGCTGCAACTTTAGCAGCGGGAGCAAACGCTGTTGTTGCTGCTGCAGTTGCTGCTGCAGTTGCTGCTGCAGTTGCTGCTGCCGTTGCTCTTGCTGCTGCTGTACTTACTCCAATTCCTGCTGCTGCAGCAGCAGCAACAGCAACAGCAGCAGCAGAAACACCACCACCACCACCACCACACCACCACCACCACCACCACCACCACCACCACCAACAGCAGCAGCCGCAGCAGCAGCAGCAACAGCAGCAGCAGCAGCAGCAGCAGCAGCAGCAGCAGCAGCAGCAGCAAGGCTAGAACAGCAGCAGCATATCCCCCGCCTGCACTTCAGCAGCAAAAAGTAAACCCCCATAAGGACAGCCACGAAACACAGAAAGGGGGGGGGCCCCCAAGGGTACTAAATTACAAACAGCGAGGGGCCCCCCACACCGCCAGCAGCAAACAGAAGAAAAGGGAACGCTGCAACCTGCTGATACCAATAGGTTCCTGCTGCTGCTGCTGCTGCTGCTGCTGCTGCGGGTGCTGCTGCGGGTGCTGTTGCTGTTGCTGTTGCTGCGAGCAGCAACAGGAGCAGGAGCTGCAGCAGGAGCTGCAGCAGAAGCAGCAGCAGGAGCAGCAGAAGCTACATGATCACCACCACCACCACCAGCAGCAGGAGCAGCAGCAGGAGCAGCAGCAGCAGCAGCAGCAGCAGCAGCAGCAGCAGCATGGGTTTGTGTGTCTGCTGGGGATCGGTGACATAGAGAGCCCACATTCGTCAGCACAGCAGCAAGTGCTTCAACACCCCACAAAGACAGAGGAAACACCTCGCTGCTGCTGCTGCTGCTGCTGCTGCTGCTGCTGCTGTTGCTGCTGTTGCTGCTGCTGCTGCTGCTGCTGCTGCTGGGGGGGACGCGGCAGCTCCGAGCCTTCTCCTTTCAAGGAGCGTTGAGCCGGCGTCTCTGCTGCAGCAGCAGCAGCAGCATCAACAGCAGCAGCAGCAGGAGCAGCAGCAGCAGCAGCAGCAGGAGCAGCAGCAGGAGCAGCAGCAGCAGCAGCAGCAGGAGCAGCAGCAACTAGCAGACAGTTGGGTTCTCGCTGTCCCTCAAACCAAAAAAGGAGACAACCAGAAGAGACCGCTTGAGCAAACAAACCCTAACACACAACACACAAACCCTAAACCCTAAACCCTAAACCCTAAACCCTAAACCCTAAACCCTAAACCCTAGATTTAAAACCCTGAATTATAAGTAATTAGATATTGTGAATAATCACAAAGAAAGAAGAAAAAATATAAGGAATAGTTTTAGGGTTTAGTTTTATTTTTTAGGGTTTAGGGTTTAGGGTTTAGGGTTTAGGGTTTAGGGTTTACGGTGCCAGTGGTAGGTAGGGAGATATCTCTGCTGCAGTTGATGGGGGCCCTCTCCTTGCTGCTGCAGCAAACAGCAGCAGCAACAGGTTCCTTCAACTGCAGCACCACACCCTTCTGCTGCTGCTTTTGCTGCTGCTGCTGCTGCTGCTGCTGCTGCTGCTGCTGCTGCTGTGTTGCTGCTGCTGCTGCTGCTGTAAACTCAACCAAAGCTGGCGGAAATAAAAATGCAGCAGGAACAGCAAACACCCCACGCAAACCCACAAAAGCAACACGCACAGGGGGGGGGCCCCCCAGGGGCCCCCCCAGGGGGCCCCCCAGGGGGCCCCCCAGGGGCCCCCCTGGTTGCTGTAGGGGGCCCCCCAGGGGCCCCCCTGGTACCTGTGGGGGGGCCCCCTGGGGCCCCCCTGGTTCCTGTGGCGGGCCCCCCGGGGGCCCCCCTGGTTGGTGTGGGGGGGCCCCCGGGGGCCCCCCTGGTTCGGGTTGGTGTTGGGGGCCCCCCGGGGGCCCCCCTGCTGGTTGAGGGGGGCCCCCCGGGGGCCCCCCTGTTTGTGGTTGGTTGTGTTGAGGGTTTTGGGGTAGAGTATAAATAGGGTTTATAGAGAAGAGACGAACTGAAGCGAAGTGAACATATACCACCCACGGATGCCTGAACACAAACCCTAAACCCTAAACCCTAAACCCTAAACCCTAAACCCTAAACCCTAGGTTTAAAGGAGTTGCATATAGAAGCAGCGGCAAAAAGGATAAGCTATGGCCTGAAACAATCCATAAAAACTAGGGTTTAGGGTTTAGGGTTTAGGGTCAAGAATTCAGGGTTTAGGGTTTAGGGTTTAGGGTTTAGGGTTTAGGGTTTAGGGTTTACAGGGGATGAAGGGGTGCTGCGTTCCACTCATCTATATCACAACAAAGGAGGTCGTTGGGGGCCCCCCTATTGAGCTGTACCCAGGGGCCCCTCTGCTGCTGCAGCAGCAGCAGCTGCTGCTGCTGCAGCAGCGCGGTGTATGCATGCCCCCCCCCTGCCTCGTATAAACCAAAAACCCCCAAAAGAAAACCCCCAGTGCATACATTCCATACTTTATACCTAAACCACAAACCCTAAACCCTAAACCCTAAACCCTAAACCCTCAATTACAAGCATTTATATATCTTCATATTACCATACAAACCCTAGGGTTTAGGGTTTAGGGTTTAGGGCTCCAACTCAAGAGTTTATTGTTTATAATTTAAACTTTATAATAAAGGGTTTAGGGTTTAGGGTTTAGGGTTTAGGGTTTAGGGTTTACCCCGTGGGGGTTTTTGTTGGGTCTAGGAATAAGCAATCTTCTGCTGGTTGAGAGATAGATATACACCGCAGCAGCAGCCAGGGGGGCCCCCGGGGGGCCCCCCCTGGGGGCCCCCCTGGGGGCCCCCCAGGGGGGCCCCCTGGGGGCCCCCCGTTTCTCTCTATGCAGAGACGTTTAATTAGTTGTAGCTGCAACAAACCCTAAACCCTAAACCCTCAACCCTAAACCCTAAACCCTAAACCCTTATATTGCGAATCAAATATATAAATTTTTCATACATTATCTCTAAACCCTAGATTTCACAGTTTACCTTCTATCTTCTATCTCCTAGGGTTTAGGGTTTAGGGTTTAGGGTTTAGGGTTTACAGGCTGAGGGTTTGCGGTGAGGTCTTGTGGGGTATCGGATATATAGATGGGGCCCCCCCCCAAAACCCTAGCAGCTAAATTTAAGTTAGAGT